TTCTCCATGACTCGAACTTGAACGCTTTTCAAACTTTCTGACCAAGGTTATATCTCCTTCATTTGATAGACGTTCCTTGAATTCTACTTGATTGTAATTACATTCAGCAAATTCGCTTGCTTCGCTTTCAAATTTTTCATTCAACTAATTTTACAAACGGCGCGCATGTCATGTGATTTCCCAATTGTTGTTGTTTTTGCCACATCGACTTCCGGTCGCTTTGTAAAATCAAAATCCAATAAAATTAAGCTATAATTTCCAAGAATACAAACGCACCGAATTTAATAAAACAATTATTCCATTCGCGCTTGTTGGATATGAGATTGGTTACAACCAACTCAGCCTTACGGGCCTCGTTGGCTATTTACCATCTCATATCCAACGCGCGCTCATGGAATAATTGTTAAATATGCGCAAGATGACACACGTGAGCAAAGCCAATTTAAATTTCATGAGGTGTGTACGTGGGTGCGTGCAGCTAATCGGCAGTAAAAGTGATGCGAATGTATACACTTTTAAGCACATTTTCTTTCTAACGTTTTGTAATAAGAATAACAGACTCGTTCCAGGGTGGAAGAGATTTATATATATCCGTGGAATTTTGATGAACCCCTAGTTTGAGAAGAAAGGTAAGACTGATGTTAATTTAATTTTCCTTAAAATGTTCTTTGTAGTGCAGTTCCTGAATTGCATCATCAGGCGTACATCAAAGAGATATATTGTTCTGAGGCAAAACAATCTTACACCTCTCTACAAGAGCTGTACTATCAAATTCCGGCTGAAAAACATCTATTGTCAAACTCAATCAATTTAATATCGACATGAAAATAGTGTATCACGACTCACCTGTTTTGATAACAGAACACACTTCAATAAACGTCAAAACTGTTTCCCTTTCCTTCTTAAAGGCTTCAAGCTCCTCAATACGCATGTCAAGAAATGTCTCCATCGGGCTTGCTTCATGCTGGTTGCCTTCTTCTTCACTGATCCCTCTAGTCACAGCTTCTTCCTTGGATGTCGTATTATTTTCCTCTTCCGATAGCAAGGGAAACAATTTCAAGAACCTATCACGGCTCTTCTGGACAATTCGTAGAGTATTAACCTGAATTTCGCCGTTCCTCAGACAGTGTCCTACATGCGCCAGAAGTGACGTCGCAGAAATAAGTATTCCCAAGCCGTCATCGGATAACGTTTCCTTTAACTGGCTTCCACTACCTAAAGGTGAAATATTGCGTTAAAGAATTTTTTTTTTTAATAACTGCAGAAATTCTCGCGCGCTCATTGGCTAATTTTCATTGTCAATAAGCGGACATGCATACAGACACATGGATTTCTTGCGTTTTGATTTAATTTTGTCCCTTCTGCCTTTTTGTTATTGTAAAAAACAAATTGTTAAATAGTTAACCATATTTTTGTCAACACTGGCCAATATTGTGAATTAAAGTATCATGTTATCGACTTGCAGTTTACAGATCAAATTGAACAAATGCCGAATTGATGTTTTTTTTTTTTTTGCATACGTATGTTTATAGATGCATACTATTTTACTAGTAAAGTCAATGGCCCGCCAGAAGTTGCGAGTTGTTCGAATACTCTTAATGTTATTTACTTTGTGCCCTTAAAGTGCACCTAACCCCCAAAATTTTTTTTCGCTAAAACGAATCTAGACGTTATTTGAAGCATTTGGGCGAAGAAATTTTTGAATTTGGTTGA